AGGAACTGCCTGCGCATGGTGTCCCCTTAATAAATGCCTTTAAGTGATGCATTTTAAAGATGAGATTTGCTTTCCTCTTTTCTTAACTGTCGTCCTATTGTATTCAGTCATCAGTGTTTCAAAAGAATTGTCCATAAATTATAGTCTTCTACTGAACAAGCTTGTGTTTTTTGCTTGTAAGGATTTGGTAGGAAATACAGTTTTTCATGACTTTCACTTTATTTCATACTTGAAATTAAGAATAAGAATGGAGTGGGGAAAAACAATGCTCTGAGCACTGTGTTGCAAGCACACAGAGAGACTTGCAAAGTCCCGATAATGAAAAGAATAAAATAAATCAATTTCATCTCTTAGAAATGGCCCTTTCAGGCTCAACGTTACCACTAAGCTGCACTTGTGGAAAKTGTAGGCAAGGCTCCTGTGTGCTAATTTTGAGTAGTGTGGAATGGGGAATCACATTTAAAACGTGTCCTTGCATTTAACCTGTCTACAGTGACTGTTTACACTGCCGAAACAGATGGTGCTGGCAGAAGGGGAGGAAAACAGGATCCTTTTGGAAAGGTCTAACGGTGCAAAGTCCCAGCCCTGCTGTGTTAGACGTCCTTGTGCAAAGAGCAGCTGGAAAAAAAGCAGAGCGGGCTAAGGTTCACTTGGCTGCAACGAGAGCACTAGGTCAGATGAACTGTTTTGTGTGCTCGCTCGTAGGCGCTCTGCAGGATTTCCCTGCTCTGTTTCTATCTGTGAATAAATGAGGACAACTGGTAACTCACACCGTTGACTCATGGCAATTAGCTCCTTGTTTGGCAGGTGGATTCGTTGCAGATGTCAGGTGGGATTGCGCCGCTGTGGCCGGGAAGGAGCGGGCGCCAGGTGGGAGGCAGCGCTGGCCCTCGCGCCAGGTGCATTCAGGGTCTTTCCATCCTTTCAGCCCCCTGTTTTATAAAAGCTAAATTTCCTTGGTGCAAACTCCTCAAGAGATCCTGGCAGCAAGTGCTAGATGAGATTGTGGCACCGCTGGCAAGGAGAAAGTGAGCTTAGAAGTCAGCCTTAGCCGGCTCCGCTGGAGCTCTGCCAGGCCGGCAGGAAGAGATAAGTGTTAAAATGTGGTGGGAATAGGGATAATCCAGTGCTAGTTTACACATCCCTTTAATTAATGTTGCCGTGAGGCTGTTAGCAGATAACCAGGGCTTTGGCTTGTAAAACCCCAGTGCGTGTTGTGTGTTTGAGAACAAACGTGCAGGTTCCCAGCAGGGATTCCGGAGCTGCGGGTGCAGCCATGCCCCATCTGCTCCCTTATTTGGACCCCAGGAAAGCTCTTGGTTCTGTCCATGAGGCGTTTGCAGCACCTGCTGTTGGCATTAATGGCATCTTTGCATTAATAACTAGCCGCGTTGAGCGGGGAGGCGCGCGGGGAAGCTCCTCTGCTCGGGGGTCTGGCGCGGGGTCTGCAGCGGCTCCCACAGCAGGGGGACAGGGAGCCCATGGAGCGCCCAGCGCTCGGGTCCTTGTCACCCAAGTTCCAGGACGGGCGCGAGGAGGAGGGCGCCGGTGGCACGAGGCGCCCCATGAGAGCTGGAGTTAATGGGAGCAGCGGGGGGAGCGAGCGGCCAGGGCCCCCCCGGGGCCCCGTTCACCGGGCGCCGCCCTGTGACCCCCCCGGGGCCGTCGCGGGGCTCCAGCCGCGCCCGGCCCCCCCGGGGACCGTTCGGCCCCAAATCGCTGGAAATTCTGCGGGAGGCCGAGGGCGCAGGGGGGAGGCGGCGTTTTGGGGCGGATCGAGGCGAAAATAAATAAATAAATAAATAAATAAATAAATAAATAAATAAATAAATAAATAAATAAATGGTC